GTTTAGTCCGGACTCTGGGCACCAGCAGGAGACCAGTCCCTGTGCTCCTCAGAGTCTGAGTTGGTCTGTGGGAGCTGTGCTGGAAAGAAGGATGAGGGCTCTACTGCAGGGCATCCTGGGTAACTCCAGACACCCTCTGCATGACACAATGGCCTCTCAGAGCAGTCATCATAGCAACAGGCTCCCATCACTGCGCTGCCGAACAGAATGTTTCAAGAGATCCTTTGTTCCTTCGACTGTCAGACTCTAAAACAGATCTGGATGAGTTAAAATATGCACTATTGTTAGGTAGTTAAAGTGATAGTCTGTAACTCTAACTACAAATAACTACACATTTTAGGAAATGTGTTAAATTGACTTCCTGGCCTTAAATGTTGATATAAAATAAGTCATTTTATTAATTCTAATATCACGGGTAAGTCCCGCCTTCCCTTCTCCTAGCTATAGCTCAGAATCCACGGTGCCGTCGAGGTTAACCAATCGAGTCATGCCAAGGGCTGTCAATCATCGGCGCTGTTTTTTTTTTCACGGAGCCTCCGAATCAAGCCTCTATAGGCTCTGGAACTACATGAAAACTCAACAAAGAATTCTGAACATCCGCGCTGAGTTACTTCCATAATCAGATCCTCTGCAGATGTGTCCTGTAATGTGCAATTCTTCTATAAAGACCATAGGGACCTTCTATGACTCTGTGGTGGCACCAGCCTCTTATACGGTGTGGTCTGCTGGAACAGCAGCATCACAGAGAGGGACAGGAAGAAGCTGGACAAGGTCATCAGGAAGTCCAGCTCAGTCCTGGGCTGTTCCCTGGACACAGTGCAGCAGGTGGGGGACAGGAGGGTCCTGAGCAAACTAACATCTATGCTGGACCATGACTGTCGCCCCCTGCAGGACACTCTCTCTGCTGTGAGATTTCATAACACTTTTAAGCAACTTTTGTTAAAGTTAAACTCATCATTCTATCAATGTGCAGAAGCCAGTACTTTTCCCTTGTTTTGTCTATCTGAAGCCCAAGCTACATGGCACCGTGGAAGCTGCTGATTGGAGGTCTCCATGCCTCTGCTCTGTATAATACACTTGCATTCTGTTGTATCTGTGTTCGTGTTGTTCGTGCTGTCTCTACCATCGACAAAAGAACATGTCTTCTGTCGGAATTTATTACACGATCCCAGACATGTCATCTTCTTCACTGCTCTGGAGAGCAGCTTCAGTGACAGACTAATTCACCCTCGCTGTGTGAAGGAGAGGTTCCGTACGTCTTTCCTTCCTGCTGCTGTCAGACTGTACAACGAGAATGTACCAGGAACTGCTAATCAGTCACTGATAATTCACTAGTAACTTTGTCACTAGTCACTTTACCTGTTATCAGTACTACTGCATTATTACATATATGATAATTCTGCCTTTCACCAGTCACTTTACCTGTTGATATTATTTATGATGTTTATTCTGCTCATATTCTCATATTCTCCGCGGCTAATGTATAATATAGACATCTGTAAATACCAAGTGCAATTATAGCCCAGAGTTTACCTCGTTTTATTTTATTCTTATCTTAATTTTATAATCTATTATCTTAAATAATAGACTTATTTGATGTGTGCAATCTGAGTGCTCTTATTTCCTTTCTCTGCGACACTGAAATTTCTCCACTGTGAGACTAATAAAGGTTTATCTTATCTTATCTTATCAATTCATGATAATAGCTTGTTCCGATCGCTTTTTTTGTGCATATAAACATTATTTTTTTCATTAAAACGTTAATAAATAATTCTGAAAACCTCCGTGCCTGTGTATTAATAATGTATATGTATAATGTGTTCTCTGATTAACATTTCAAAGTGTTACGGAAACGTAGGCGTAGACCAATCAGAAAGGAAGGGGGAGGGAGCTTGCGTAGTTTTTTTCAAATCAAGTACCTCTCTGTCTCTCTTTAATGTGTAAAGTTTTAAAATCATGTCATGACATGGCCGGTATATTATTATTAGTACTCTCGTCTCCTAGAGGTCTGGCGGGAAGTGTTCATGCAGATGTGGGCCATTGTCACCTTTGCTTCCTGTGTCCTGTATACATATGTCCGACTGTTTGCATGTTAATATGGAGGGCTTCCCTTTGAAACTGTACTTTCCCCTGACTGTTTTGTGGGTGTGTTTTGAGACTGTGTTCATTGAATAAAGTAGGTTGCTTCGTGGAGGAGCTCCAGACCTTGGTCTGGAGCTGAGGAAACACGGCTGCTTTCTGCTGTCTCCTCCATGGACGTCTAACCATGTAAAATAGAATGACAACTTTGGCCTAACCTTTGTGTGCTTTTGTCCAGATGACCTGCAGTCAAACTATTTTTTATCGGAACCCCACCAGTTTCACGTGAGCATTCACTCACAGTGCAACTTCCGCTGTTGCCTTTTGAGAAACCAGTGCAGATGTGACTGGTACGGTGGCTGAGTGGATAGCACTCTCGCCTCTCAGCAAGAAGGTCCTGGGTTCGAATCCCGGTCGGACCAGGGCCTTTCTGAGTGGAGTTTGCATGTTCTCCCCGTGTCTGCGTAGGTTTCCTCCGGGTACTCCGGTTTCCCCTACCACTATAAATATGTCCAATAGTTCTGGCATGCGCCTCCTGTACTGGCGACCCCGCTCCCATCTCTGTGTGGAGTGAGAGACAAATGCCCATAATTAACAATTGTAAACCGCTTTGAGACTCAGATCTGCAGTGAAAAGGCGGTATATAAATAAAAACTTACTACTAACTTACTTACTTCACGTTGGCCAGTACCACTCTCATGTCATTTTCACAGCAAAGTCTGTTTCTTTTCTTTGTTTTTATGTCCAGCATCCTCGAAAAGGATTGCTCACAAAAATGTCACAAATGGGAGGCGGAGACTGTTTCAAGTGCATTGAGCCAATGAACCGCTTCAACACAACGACACAGTTGATACAAAGCAAAGCAGTGATGCAGAGTCCGAGACACTGACAAGTTTATTTCAGCCTTTTTGATACACGCTCCAACACAGTGTTGCAAAGCAGTCTGCTTCAGGAAGAGCGACACAATCTCCGGAGCGTCAGGATTGTTATCCTGTCACTAGATAATTTGCGTGTGTGCGTATCTCTGCTGCGCAGGCTCTACTGAACCCCTGAGAGAGACAAACCGAACCACTGGGGTTCCATCGAACCCAGGTAAAGAACCACTGGCTTATATGGATGTGTTTTCTGCTGCTGGACACCTGCATTTTTCCTACAGGGACCAATAAAGTATCTATCTATCTGGTTCATATGGTAGCACCACGATACAGATGTACTTTGGTGCGACGCCATAAACACACACAGTCCTTTTTATTGATGCTACCCACCCAACAGTTTCTGAAAAAATAAATACATTTGGGTTTAGCACAAAGTATACTAAACCGTATCTGTCTCTACTAAAAGCTACAAATGGGACTCTTTACAAGCTGTCCTCACTACTGTCTCTGCAGAGGGGCCTCAGGTCAAAGTGATGAAGATTTAAAACACCGGATCACCTCCAGAATATAATATCACGTCCACAAATCCACTTCCTTTTAAAACAAACAAGAACTAAATTGAGCTCAGTGCACTAGCTTGGATTGATATAAATAACGTTAAGTTCAGTTTCAAATATGAATCAATTCTAAGTTGTATTTAAGTTGGATAATGACATTTGTATGTGACCTCACACTTTGTCTGCAGTACTATGATGCTAACCAGGTTTTATGATGAAAATGAAGACATAGAATCATTGATGCTGAAATTATTCATTTTATTAACATCAGTTGCATCACTTATTACATCAGTACAGACACCACACAATCTTAATTATCTTTATTAACCCACAATCACATCTTCTATAACTTGATTCTCTCACCAATGTCACTGTAACTGTCTTTATATCGTCAGTATAATCGACTTATGTTGTGATTTTAACTAAACAAACCCCACATTTTAATATTCAAATCTATAAAAATATAGTTTTATAGACCATTAAAAACAACTGTAAACCAACTGTTTTAAACAATTTTTTTTAGCTACACCTTGAGGGCCCTAATCCAGTCCAGGGTCCATCCTTGCCGGGGTCGCAGCCGGTGAATTGTCTGTTAAAGAAATGCAGTTTTAAAACATGGTTCAAACAAAATTATAACAACGTAAGTGCATGATAATTTTTACTGTTGGTTAAAGCCTGGTTCACACGACAGGATAATCTTAAAAACGCTCAAATTTAAAAAAAAAAAAATCTGATGGATTTTCCTGCCATGTGTGGTGTGTTAAGTCTTGTCACTCAGAAGGACTTTGGGACCGCTCCGATCTCAATTCGTAAATTGTGGATATCCAACATGTTGGATTGTTTTGGCCCAATTTCTCTTCGTGTGTGGTGTCCCCCGGCAACAGACGAGCACGTTGCCAGTGGACTGCGGTGTGTAGCCAATCAGAAGACGAGGTGACAAGGAAACAACGGGGAAAAAATCACAGTCGGCGGCATGGTGCACCAGAAAGTCTGGTAGACATCGGAGATGGAGGACCAACTAATTGACCTATGGCAACACAAACTATCGCCACTGCATCCCTTTCGTCCGCCATGTGTTTGGTTTAATCCAAGGATTCTGAAACGACCAGCACTGCCAGAACCAGTGTATATCATTGAAATATAGCAAAATATAGTCACTTTTAATCTTTGATTGTATCTAAGACATTTTAACATGTTTTTTCAATTCATACTTGCAGCTAAAAGCTTATTTCAAAACAGTAAAATAGATAAACATAAGAATGAAATGTTAAATGTTGAAAAACACTGTGTGTGTGTCTTTGTTTTGGTCATGACAACTGTTGCTAAGGGACTTTGCTGGCTCTTGGCACATACTGTAACATAGTAGGAAAATGTTTAACAAAATATGTTTATTTTTCTAGCATTATTATGAGTGTGTGATTGCGATTGAAAAAATGAATATGAAATGAAGATATTCATAAAGCAAACATGAAAGACTTACTGTCAAAACTTAAGCGCAGTCCTGAAAACAAGAGCAAATAGAGATTGTCAAAATAGTTCATCCAAAGGTTTCTGTTGACGACATACAGTACATTCTACATCCATTTTACCCATTCTGTTTCATTTTGTATTTAAATAACTGTTACGATTATGCATTATTAGTGGTGGTCATCAACCTGGAAAAAGCCAGATTGATGATTGTGTTGGACTCAAGTTGATTAACTGGTCCCTCAACGCAATTGATTCTATCTTTTCAACACGTAAGCGTGGGTCTGGAGAGCCCGTGTGCCCGGACGGGACTTCACCAGCGGGGTATACTCTTGACAGCTGGAACAAGTTTCAGCCCCTCTGTCTGTCGACCCTGTCCATTGAAGATTCGGAAGACGTATATATCTTTGGCATTTTGGTGGTGGGAATCCTCCTGTTTGGTTTTGGAGCAGTTCTCTTCTACCAGAAATTTGTGGCATGGCAGTTCGCAAGATTCACGACCTGCTGGCCGACAAAATTGATGGGATGTACAAGGAGCTTAGCCGCGTCGTGGTTGAGAGTGCCGTGTCTGGACAAAGGAGAGTGGTTTTGGTGGAACAGTTGGTTAAAGATCTCGCAGCTCGTTCACTCGATGGACATAAGACTCTGGAGTTGAGATTGAATGACATTGTGTGTCAGGCTTGAACTCTCTGACCCGGCTTGGATCTGCCCCTGTGTACGGAGGTCTGAGGGCGCCGCAATTCGGTTTAATTGGATTTAATAGAATATCTGCCTGACATTGCATTTAATATTGTCCCCCTGAGGCGATGTGTTTCTCCTGCTGTGTCTTCTCTCCACTCTTATCTCACATTCCTCGGGCCAAGGCCATAATAACAAAGGTCCCATCTACAACAATTTCACACTCTTTCAGTCAGTTCCAGCTTGGATCCCGCTCCCCCCGCCTCCCTCTGATCTCTCCCTCCCCTCCCCTCCTCACTGTGTTTCCGACTCACCCCCCTCCCTGACCCCGCCCCCCTCTGACAGCCACATTGGGCCGGCTGTAGGAGGTGCTTCATCCCGAGAAAAAATCCGTGCTTTATACAAGGCACAATGTGTCTATCCAACTGTCTGTGAAACTGTATGTTATTGCTCTCTGCTGTATATTCTACTGTTTGTCGCATGGCGCCGTAAAGATGGCGCCGTGGCAAGAGCTCTGGTGTGTGTCGTCTCCTCTGTCTGGTGCACACCGGGGTAGTCTTGCACAGTTTTTCCAATGTGGTTTTACTGCAAATGGCAAATAAATGAATCTGAATCTGAATCTGAAATGGGTTCCTCACAATATCAATCTGGAACCTCTGCAAGAGAATCCTTTCAGGGAGAGGAGGGGCAGGCAGCAGAATACTAGCTGATTGGTTGAAGTGACGCTGTTTGCCCACCTACCACGCCCAGGGAAACGACAACCCATAGTTGAAAAGGCACAAACAGATTCCCAGCTGTCATAGACAGTAAAGGGGAAATACAGTCCATCGAGAACTGGGGGATGGGGACTTCTGATCAGGGTCAGAAATGCAGGAAACAGAAAAGTGCTAACCGGGGTGCAGTTGTTTCCAGAGACGCACAGTCCCACTCTAGTGTGCAGGTAAGGGCCTGAAGTGGCGTTCATGTACTGGAAAACCTCAAAAGAAAAGACTGCTTCTCCGCCCTGGCCGGAGGAGACCAGCTCCACGGTGCCATCACTGGTAACCGGGCATCTACAAGTGAAACACTTTCATTAATATTATACAAAATCCCAAACATTGGAGGCTTTTAAATCAAGTCTAGAGTCTAGTATTTTATTGTTTTACTTTTTACATGTATTTGTATTTATCATTTATTCTTTTTTCTAGTGTTGATGTAAATGTGCTATGCAAATAAAACTGACATTGACACTGATAAACAACCTCCTATATAACCTATTGCAAAGTTACAATTGAACAAATAAATGCTGAAGAGTCTGTTTGAGAAAAAAGGTACAGGAAGATGGTCTCACCCGTCTTTGATGAGGTCGTATCTGTTGGCTCCGTGGAGGTCATTGTCAGTAGTGGACCAGCTTTCCTCAATGACCAGTGTCATTGTGGTCCCTTCCAGCTCTGGGGCGCTCACCTGCAGCCACAGTCTCTGCTGCAGGGACAGGGGTGTGTTGAGTTCCAAAGGCTTAATCAACGCAGCGTCTGTGAACAATGTTGTGCTCAGGTTGAAGGTTTGATTCATTTCGTACGAGAACTCGATGGATCTGCAACATAGAAGAAAACACGTCTTTTAACAGTCAATCACCTTATTGGCATCTGAAAGCAGAATTCATCACTATGTTGACTTGTAGCTCAATTGGTACAACTGAGCTCCAACAACGATGAGCAAGTATATTAGATTCACTTGCTGCTCTAACAACCCACCCATCAGCTCTGCCCCCACCCTGACAATAGCCTCAGAAGACATCAAATGACTCTTCTTGAGGCTGCACCCCCGCAAAGCTCCTGGCCCGGACTGTGTGTCTCCGGCCACTCTGAGACACTGCGCCAGTGAGCTAACTCCGGCCTTCACTGACATTTTCACCTCCTCTCTGCAGTCCTGCCATGTCCCGGCCTGCTTCAAATCCTCCATCATCGTCCATGTCCCGAAGAAGCCCAGGATCACAGGATTCAATGACTACAGACCTGTGGCACTTACGTACGTCTGTTGTCATGAAGTTATTTGAACGCCTGATCCTCTCCCATCTCAAGTCCTTCACCTCCCCCTCCTGGACCCCCTGCAGTTCGCCTACAGAGCCAACAGATCTGTAGACGACGCCATTAACCTGGCCCTCCACCACATCCTACAGCACCTTTTCTCCCCGGGGACCTACGCCAGGATCCTGTTCGTGGACTTCAGCTCTGCCTTCAACACGATCCAGCCATCCCTGCTCCAGGACAAGCTCTCCCAGCTCAACGTGCCCGATTCCACCTGCAGGTGGATCACTGACTTTCTGACGGACAGGAAGCAGCGAGTGCGTCTGGGGAAGAATGTCTCGGACTGTCGGATTATAAATACAGGAGCCCCACAGGGCTGTGTTCTTTCTCCCCTGCTCTTCTCCCTGTACACCAACCATTGCACCTCCAGCCACGACTCCGTGAAGCTGATCAAGTTCGCGGACGACACCACCCTCATTGGTCTCATCTCCAACAACGATGAGTCCGCCTACAGGAGGGAGTTGGACCGGCTGCTGTCCTGGTGCAGTGGCAACAACCTGGAGCTGAATGCCCAGAAGACAGTGGAGATGATTGTGGACTTCAGGAAGAGCACTGTCCCCCCGCCCCCACCCTCCGTGATGGACTCCCCCATCACCTCTGTGGAGTCCTTCCGTTTCCTGGGCACCACCATCACCCAGGACCTCAAGTGGGAGCCGACCATCAGCTCCCTCATCAAGAAGGCCCAGCAGAGGATGTACTTCCTGCGGCAGCTCAGGAAAGCCAAGCTGCCTGCACAGATGTTGGTGCAGTTCTACACGGCCATCATCGAGTCCATCCTCACCTCCTCCATCACCGTGTGGTTCGCTGGAGCCACAGTCAGGGACAAACAGAGACAAACGCGCATTGTGCGTTCTGCAGAGAAGGTGATTGGCCGCAGCCTTCCATCGCTGCAGGACCTGTACGTCGCCCGAGCTCGAGGCCGGGCTGGTCATATCACAGCCGACCCCTCTCACCCTGCACATGGACTATTCCAACCACTCCCCTCAGGCAGGAGGCTGCGGTCCATCAGGACTAGAACCTCCCGCCACAAGAACAGTTTCTTCCCCTCTGATGTTGGACTCTTGAACCTCCCCGCCCTCTAGAAGTCCCCTACTGCTCTTTATAAAGTCACTTTACTGCCCATCATACGTCACTTTACCTCACTGTACTGCTGTCACCTTACATTGTGTGCACCATGTGCACTGTATATTGTATATAGTAATTGTAACTCTATTTTATTTTAATTTTAAACGTATTAGAAGTGTTTTTTATTCTTTATTTTTTATTATACCTTCTATACCGTGCCTTCTCGGGCGGCACGGTGGCTGAGTGGATAGCACTCTCGCCTCTCAGCAAGAAGGTCCTGGGTCTCCCCTGTTTGAGACATTAACAATGGCTCAATATCAATCTGTGGGATATGAAAAAGACACAAATACCCAATTTACTCATGTAAATTAATGTAGTATCAAATTTTCAGCCTAAACGTTCCTTTGAAATGTATTAACCTGAAATGTATTAATCAGAAATACAGCAGGTTTGGCTGATTGGCAGAGAGAGGGTGAAAACATAAACCAAAATGATCCCATGTGGGAGTTTACAGTCTAAAGTGATCTACCAGTCTTTAAAGGGCTTAAGGTTTTTATTTATGTTGTTTTTACTCAACCTTGCCATTTTAAAATAAGGTACTCTTCCTTTGGCTATAAGAATGTACAACAGATATGTCTAAGAATCTACTGTATCTATCCATTACATGTGCTGGCACGTGAATATGATTTTCTCACTCAAACAGGGTTTATTTAGTTTTGAGTCCTTTGTCAGGTTCCATTTGTGAATAAAAGGTTTGAACTCACCCGTCTGCAACATTCAATGAGAAGGTGTTGAGCAGCTTATCCACGTTGTAGACGCAGGAAATATTAGTGGAGAAGGTGTTCTCAAATGTGACGGTTTTGCTCTGGGTGTTCTCAAGGGTTTGGGTGATGGAAAATCCTGAGCTCAAAGGCTGCAAAAAAAAAAACACATTTGTCGGCTGCCTGTTTCTGTGGTGGTCATACCCACAGACCCTACCCATGGCATGAGTATGATTTACTGGTGAATAGTAAAACCAAATTATTATTTTTTTATTATTCACCATTTAGAATCATCCCGCTGAGATTTTTCTAGTGGACTTTCACATTTTCATAATTTTGTATGAATAAATTTTTTTTTGAATGTGCCAAAATGTGGCTTTACATGTTGATAGATTAGAATATATTGAACTTTAGACAGCTTTGGGTTAACCTACGTGTGTAGAATGGGATGGCAGCATTCTCCCATCCCCCATGAGTGAAACACCAATAAGCAGGTAGCCGAAAACATCTGTTTTCAGTAGATCTCATGTTTATTTAGAGGGAAGCCACGTCTTCTCTGAGGGAGAGGAAGGTGGGACATATTGTTGCATGTGTTTCAAATTATCATGGTATAAGACCAGAGCTATTTTGCCCATTCCTTTGTCACTCTGCTGCTACATCTAGCTGACCCAGACTGGTGCAGTCTGTTACTTGTCCGTGTGTGCTGATGTCCAGATAACCTGTAATTTTGAACCAGCGGCTGACAACATGTATTAAAGAGATTATGTTGTTCAAATGTGACTAGTTTCTTCACACATGTATACGTACGGCACTTATGTACACATTTTTGAGCCATTTGACAAAGAAATTAATTGAACGACAGAAGCACCTCAAAAATTTCACCACACGAGTTGCTGGAGTCCCAATTAAAGATAACATTGTTGTATTGGTCCACTTCTCCAGTGCAGTTTGGATTATTCAGATGGAGGCCGTGGAAGTTAATGCCCTCTTCCTCCAGCAAACAGCCCAACAGCGTGATTGTGCGGGAGTCTGCACCACAGGTGGGGGGCGGCCCTGGGAAGAAACCAACAAATCAATATTCTTTTCATCATTCAAAAGCATCTGTTGGTCTGATCTGATTCCATCAACTATTCACCTATAGAAGAGCGGTCATTCAAAAATCAAATGATACTTTGTCATTTTATGTTTTAGAATGTAAAATAATAGATAATACATGGTGAGAGTGTGAAGGGTAAATAAGGATAAAAATAATGCATCGGTTTTATATATACACTCAAAGACGCTTCACCACTGTATTCGTTCACTCAAAATACAGTGGTGATAAACTACTACTGTAGCCACAGCTGCCCTGGGGCACACTGACAGAAGCGAGGCAACCAGTGTGTGCCATCAGCCCTTCCGACCACACACACACACACACACACACAGGGGTGAAGTGTCTTGCCAGGACACAACAACAGCAGACATCAGAAAGAGGCGGTGGAGAAAGTCTTGTAGTAGGCTCGAACCCACGACCTTCAAGCTCAAAGGCCAATGGTCTATCAACCGAGCCACTGTCGCCCCCAAATAATGCTATCGACATGCCCCATCACTATTCTACCACAAGATGGAGGTAACGACTTTGTTTATTTATTGTTTTCCAAATGTCCAAGATTTATTTCTTTAATTGCATTTTTCTATTAAAGTTGTGTTTTTGTGTGTGAGTAATCACACCATCTACAACGAGAAAGTTGAGGTGGCTCGAGCATCTGTTTCGTTTTATAATATATAGATGCTAAAACATTATTTTAAAACAGTTTAAGATTTCTGACTGTCTCAAGAACTCAAGACGACCGCAAAGACTTAAAGCTGCACTAACTGACTTTGGGATTTTGAAGCCGCGGACTCGCTGGCCTCTCTCTTTCTGCTCCCCTCCCCGCACCCACGAAGCTATCGCCCCCCACACACACCCACTGTTGTTGACGGAGCTAGCGTCTCCCAATATGGAAAATACATGGATATGGATTTGCACGTGGATGGCGTGACCATAGAACAATAGAACCGGGAAGCGCGGAGGAACGGGACTTTCTTTTGGATGGCTGTCTCGCTGTGTAAGCAGTAACCGGTGATGAAGACACACGAAGCTTCAGGTTAGCACCGCCGCTTGTTGTGCTAACTTAGCTGCCTGTGCTAACGGACCTGTAGATTTCTCACGAAAGTGGGGGCTAGTGGTGCGCTGTGATTGGTCACAATCTGCGACCCGAAACACATCTCTTCCTTGTTTCATCAAAACTCGATCTAAAATATAACGTCACGCCAGCACAAACCTGTGCTACTTTTTCCTCAAAAGGACGTATATCCCAATGCACTACATGGACATGGATAGCATTTTCTTAATGAATACAAAAATAAAGTCAGTTAGTGCAGCTTTAAGTTAATAGAATGTACAGATAAGGGCGACAGTAGCTCAGTTGGTAGAGCATTGGCCTTTGAGGCAGAGGGTCGTGGGTTTGAGCCCGACTTTCACCATCGACTCCCACTGTCTGCTGTCGTTGTGTCCTTGGCAAGACACTTAACCTCTGGGAACACCAGATGCCACAGTGGGGCGGCTACGGCTGTAAAGTGCCAAACTGCTGTTGCGTCCTTAGGCAAGACACTTCACCCCCATTGCCTAGAATGAGTCTGGTGTGTGTGTGAATGGCTGCTGGTGGTCGGAGGGGCCGATGGCACATACTGGTTGCCTCGCTTCTGTCAGTGTGCCCCAGGGCAGCTGTGGCTACAGTAGTAGTTTATCACCACCGTGTATGGAGTGAATGAATAATGACATGTGAACTGTCTTTGAGTGTCCAAAAAAGCGCTATATAAAACCGATGCATTATTATTATTATTATTATTATTATATCAACAAAAGCAGTTCTTACCATATTTTCCGTTTTGCCTGTAGCCGTTGATGGTGGTGTTGGTTTTTTGGCAGTAGCAGGAGGCCTCTGCACTGGGCGCCACAGTACAGAACTCGTGAGACCCACACAAATGTTTTGCACAGAGATTCTCAGCTGAAAATAAAAAAGACAATTTATGTTCAATCCATGTTGCAAGTGTTTTTTTTTTTTTTTCAAGATTTAGCAAGATTTGCTATTTAACTTCTGAGAAGTAGATGACATCAAGCTAGCAACAAGGGCCAAAGCTACCCTCCTTCATACACATACATACATTATCAATTAAAATAAAGTAAACTAATAAGTTAAGTTAATAATTATGTGTAAAATGAATTGTTCCAAACTTGAAGATGCTTCTGGATCTCATTAGCATGGAGCCATCCGTTCTGGAATTTGGCTTTACTTCCTGTAAGTCTCAAAGCCATTTTGGTGCAAATCTATAATTCACATTTGAAATCTTCTGAAATCATAAAACTAATAAGTTTTCGTTTCAATGTCCCGCCTTTCTGGTTTTACTAATCAGAAAGTCTGTGATCAAGGTTGCCAGAACTCACTGCGCCGAGCTAATCTAACTGGTAAAGTAACATGTGACTGCAAGACTAAAAAGGTCTCGTTATGATTCTCAAATTATTCATCACAAAACAAGGAATAAAACAAGGATTTCTGTTGGCTTGTGGAAAAGGTGTTAGAGATTTGTTGTTGAAAAAACTCTGTCTATTCAGCATTATGGTCTCAGCTGAATTTGTCTGCATATCTGGCAACCTGAGTCAGGTAGAGTAGGAGATGTTGCAGTACCACTTTTGGCCAGATTTTCACATGATGCTCATTTAAACAAAAAATATAAAAGCTTCAAGTTTGTTGTAGCGTTGGTTGTTTTTGTGCTCTGGTGCTAGCAAAGGTGTTATATTCTGTGTGGTGGTGAGTTTTTAGATGTTTGATCAAGTTGCTGGTGTAATAAGTGTTTATTTTGGACCCAACCCACAGTTTGCTTTACTCTTGCCACTCTTGTTTACTTTAAAAAACTGCCATACTACTGACATCCTGTCTGCTTGCCACAAGATGACTAAACGCTAGCCCGCTTTTTTGTTGCAGACTTTGGGAGATCACTATGGCAACACGTGCCGCACAGCTGTTTGCTGTCAGGACGCAAAAGTAAATTAAAAATGGTGGTATCAGTGCCAGCCTATGGTACTGACTAGGGATGCAAATCGGTGACCATTTAACCTGTGGTTGACCGTCACAGCAACCACCAAAGCTGTCGGTTAAAAAAAGAAAAGGGGGAGAGGGGAGGTCCCTATTTTAAGCCCTATTTGCACGGTGTGACGAGCGGGTCCGTCTCTAGCTGTGTGCGCCAATGTATCAGTAAACTGCGAGCCAACTTTCATGCCGCACGCGCCACATATGCACGCACGCGCGCGCACACCCGTACTTCCACCCCCTCATTGATACGTAACATCCACATTCATCCTCTCTCCCCTCTGTTACTTGTCTGCCAAAGTTGCGCACTGGTGCGGGTCAGAACTACATTGGAGCTTACATTTACACACACATACACACACACACACACATACATACAGTACATGTACACACATACCGGTCTGTCGCGCCCCTCTGTGTCACGGAGCCCAAAGGATCCTCGCAAATACACGGCTCCAGTCAAACCACATGGAACATGTTTGTGCTGCTGGTCCTTGGCATCAGCTCCACACACATCACTTGTATTTAAACTTTAGCGGAGATCTGCGAGACGCGGCTCGTCAGTCACTGCTCTGACCCTGTGAATGAGCAGTCTTTTGCCTAAAAACTCTTTAACCCTCAGCACAGAAGAATGGGAAGACTAAAAAAGCAGTTCTCTGTGCGCAGAGGTGCCGAAGCTGTTGCGGGTTTTGGCGCCGCTGTCTCGGCTCTGATCCAGTAGAAAGCAGAGCTGCATTTATGAAACGCGGCTCGAAATGGCTGTTATCTCAAAGAACGTGGAATATTTTAAACAACGCGGTTAACCGGTTAATGAGGCTTGGTGGTCGGTCATAAAAATTCATAGTTTTTTACATCCCTAGTACTGACTCTATATCAGTATCCGTGTCTCCATATTTGTAAGTTGAGCTTTCATGTAAAACTATGTATACCTGCATGTAAGGATTTTGAAGGGACCCTTAGAAGAATAGCCACAGCACCTCAGCAATAAACTAAACTAAATTCTAAAATATAGATTTAAAATATGAGTGTTTTTTTTCTTAATTTGACTTTATTCTGACGTAAAACAAGATTTGCCAATGGGACAAGCCATTCAGTCTTCAAGAACTGTAGCTTTATTATCTCATGCCAAGGGAGATCTTTTTAACAAGACAATTTTGCTTTGTCCCATTGGAAAATGTTAAGGCAGTCAAAATGTGCTCAAATTAAGATACATTTTGTCAAGTTTGAGCTTATTTTTTCAGCTGGTTCACTTACAACAGCTGGTCTTCTCTTGCCAGTTGTGAACTTTGGCAACGTCGGCGTAAGCTCGGACCCAGTGGCAGTAGAGGTTGTCCACTTCCGGATAGTGGCAGAGCAGTTCCTGACAAGCTGTGATGTAGGAGGAGATGTTCACCGAGGGCACCGCCACTTTGTTCAACATCTCAGTGCACCTGCGAAGCAAGACAAATACAATCAACATCAAGTCAAGATCCCCCGACAACCTGACTTTTTATTTGTACACAAATATTACATCCTCACAGCAAAAAGATCAAATATGAGGGAATAATTGCTTAAATCCAGTCGTTTTTATCTTAATGATGTCCCATTAGCAAATCCTATTTTAAGGCAGGCAAAGTTAAATCAACATACATTTAGCCAAATTTGAGCAGTTTTTACTTATTTTTCATTGCTTTTTACAGTGTTGCTTGTCCCGACAAAAGAGTCTTGACCTAAAGATGTGAACACGGTAGAGTCGATAATAGAGAGGGCAAGGGCGGTTTTTGATGTGAATAGGACTTTTGTCGGAGTTGCTTGCTTGAGTTGCTTGCTTGAGTTGTCTGCTTACACAGGTTTATGTGGATGGAGCTCTAGATGGAGTACGGGACCACAAAAAAATTACAACGGCAAGTTCCAAGCTCAAAACTTTTTGTTTGTATTACTAGTTTTACTTGTATGTATTTTTGTGGGGACGACAGTAGCTCAGTTGGTAGAGCATTGGCCTTTGAGCCTGAATGTCGTGAGTTCAATTCCCACCTCTACACCTTCTCCACCGACTCCCACTGATGACTGCTGTCGTTGTGTCCTTGGGCAAGACACTTAACCCCACTTTGCCCACAGCCCCCACTGAAAGATCAAGGCTATGCTCACACTCAGAGAGCAGCCGTCCTCCTGTGGACTCACCACCTGCAGAGGGTCAGTGAGGGGCTGGTGCTATGAGACTTGGGTGGCATCTCTGACTGCCACCCCCCTGACCCAGAAATGGATTAAAGGGTAGAAAATGGATGGATGGATGGATGGATATTTTTGACCTCTGTCACTACACATAGCACCTAACCCAAGTGAATATTTAGTCTAGGGAGCATTCATTCATTTACTCGCATTAGGTGTGATTTACAATTTTCCATAGCCGTTTATCGCACATGGTCTATCAATTCTATAACATTTGTAGAGCAACAGCAATTCAAGAAGAAGGGAAGAAATGAAAAACACAAATAGATAATTGGTCTCACCGTGTTGTTCGCGTTGTACAAGTAATATCGTCCCCGGCAGTATCACTAATCATGTCAGTACAATCTGGGTCTGAGATTTTTGTTACAATCTGATCACTGAACCCAGGGGAGGTATCAGCACAGATCCCTGAGGAATACCTGGTCTTTCCCTCCGCCACTGTGGGGAAAGACGACAACATACTTAGAGCCAATAACAACAATCCAACCACTCCATTGAATACATAAATATGTTCCAATATTTAGTGTAAACAAAAATGCATGCTAGTACTACACTTTATTATTGGCCATTGAAAATATATAATGAGACCATTTACGTTTTTGTCATTTCATGGTATAGAACGTGAAATAATATTGTGAGAAGAAAATATTTGGTGAAATAAGTTTGAAAGATAAATAATAATCCCCATGCAAGCAACACATGTATTTTATTCATGTTATATTATTACAGAGCTAGATGTTTGTGCCAGAAGTTCCTTATAGGATGGATCTAAAAACAACTCCAAGTCTATTGTTTAACATGACATTGTGCCATTTCTTTGTTTTTTTTTTATGCAAAAGCTAATTTTGTTGTTGTTATAAGCCCTTTGAGGGACAAGTTTAAGGAGAAGATAAAATAACTTTATTTGTCCCTCAGTGGGGACATTTCAGTTGCGAATGTTGATGTTCCGAATTAGCCCCTGATTTTAGCATTGTGATACAGGCATCAGATCTATCAAATAATCAATAAATGAGGAAATGAGATTAAAAATGATTGCTTGTAACATTATTCTTTATTCTCTATTATGCCAAAGCTAGAGATTTTATACTTTCTTATTTATTGTGCTATATTTAGAGATGTTATATTTACTTCTTTAATAGGTTAAAGTTAGAGATTGAATTTTATTTAATTTTAGCATAGAGCCATTGTTCATTTCTTTTGTGCTATGTGCTCCTCATTTCTGTTCTGTGATCAGAGATGCAACACTGACATTTCCCCACTGTGGGACAAAAAAAAAGGATCTCTTAATCTTAAAGAGACTCCACACACCTCTCTGGACAATGGTCAGTCTTGTGCCGTCATAGATGACTTTGGTGGTGGTTAAATCCTCATCGGTGAACTCTGCTACTGTTGCATAGTCTTCACTAGTCACTGTCACTGTATTGTTCAGCTCTTTCACTGGACCTCCCGACAAGTCCACTGCTCTCTTGTTTCCATTAGCCTGTTCAAAGAGGCAGGTTTATTCAGGCTTTAAACAAACGCACACGTACACACACACACACACACAAGCAAGACTCATACTAGACAATGTGGGTGGCCAAAGTGTGTCATGGTGGTACAGGGCCTTTCTAAGTGTAGTTTGCTTGTTCTCCCCATGTTTGCGTCCTTTCCCTCCGGTCGCTCCAGTTTCCCCCGCCTCTAGAACCATGTGCAATAGTGCATGTGCTGTAAACCCCCATACTGTTCCCTAACCCTAAAGTTGGAGTTTCCTCGTTAAATAACGGTCCAATACATTAAATCTAAGGACACAACAACAGATCAGCACTAGTCTCTGTCGTCCCATCCCAGAACTAACCAGGCCCGGCCCTGCTGCAGAGATCAGGCTTTCACAAGCAGGTTTGGTCATATTAGGGCGGACATTCGCTTGATCTTGTGCTGTCTTTTGGTCTGAATCTGTAGATTATTGATATCTGTGACACGGGTAACTCAGATCACTACGCAGTGCTCTTTACACTGACGCTTCCAAAATCTAACATTAAACCGTACGGCCGTCTTGCTGTGCCCATCTCGTCTGTTTAAGGAGGTGTTCGAAACAGTGGGGACTTGGATCCTTGACATAATTAATGCATCTTTAAATTCAGGATGTGTACCTATCACACTTAAGCATGCCGTGGTACAACCTATTCTTAAAAAGCACAATCTTGATCCTACATCCTTGTCGAATTATAGGCCCATCTCAAAGTTGCCTTTTATTTCTAAGATTTTGGAAAAGGGTGATCTTATTCAACTACAGGACCATCTTGATACATACAGCATTTTTAGCAGTCATCAGGCCCCTGCTAAAAAAGAGCAGTCTCGATGCTACGGTACTTAACAACTATCGTCCCATCTCAAATCTGCCATTTATGGGGAAAGTCCTTGAGAAAGTTGTCTACCTACAGCTTACTAGATTTCTTATAATCAACAACTCATTTGATATGTTTCAGTCCGGCTTTAGACCCCACCACAGCACTGAGACTGCTCTCGTTAAGGTTACAAACGATATCCGGCTGAACACTGACGCAGGCAAAGTCTCAATCTTAATCTTGTTAGATCTGAGTGCTGCCTTTGACACCGTCGACCATGAGATCCCTCTTACAGAGACTAGAGGACTGGGTTGGCGTCACTGGCACCGCCCTAAGTTGGTTTAGGTCTTACCTTGAAGACAGGAAGTACTTTGTGGAGATTGGAAACTGTGTCTCAGATCATATGGCCCTGACCTGTGGAGTCCCACAGGGGTCGATCCTGGGACCTCTTCTGTTCAATCTCTACATGCTGCCGTTAGGTCAGTTAATACGCAGAAACAAAGTTTCCTATCATAACTATGCAGACGACACTCAGATCTATGTCTCACTGACTGCAGGAGAACATGGACCAGTGGACTCACTCCTTCACTGTATCCAACAGATCAGTGAGTGGATGCAAAACAACTTCCTTCAGCTAAACGCAGACAAAACTGAAATTATTGTCTTTGGTCCCCAGAAACAAAGAGAGAGCGTCATCTGTCACCTACAGTCTCTCTCCCTAAAACCTTCAAACAAGGTCAGAAATCTAGGGGTAATACTGGACTCAGACTTAAATTTTAATAGCCACATCAAATCAGTAACATCAGCAGCTTTTTACCATCTAAAAAACATTGCCAGGATCAAAAACATAGTGTCTAAAGCAGACTTGGAGATTCTTATCCATGCATTTGTCTCCAGTAGGTTAGACTACTGCAATGGCCTGCTCACAGGTCTGTCCAAACAGGCTGTAAAACAGCTGCAGTACATTCAAAATGCAGCAGCTCGAGTCCTGACAAGAACCAGGAAGTACGACCACATTAGTCCAGTCCTCAGGTCTCTGCACTGGCTTGCTGTGGCTCAGAGAATAGACTTTAAAACAGCTCTGCTTGTGTACAAGTCTCTCCATGGCCTCGCACCAAAATATATTAGTGACATGTTAGTCCCATATGAACCAGCCCGGACTCTGAGGAGCACAGGGACTGGACTCCTGTTAGTGCCCAGAGTCAGGACTAAACATGGGGAGGCTGCTTTTCAGATTCATGCTGCTAAAATCTGGAACAGTCTTCCTGAAGATGTGAGACAGGCCTCCTCTCTGACAATGTTTAAACCAGGTTAAAGACAGTTCTGTTTAACTGTGCATACAACTGAGGGATTTTATATTTTTATCTTTCTTTTTAATGTTCTGTGATAATTTATGATTTTAATGCTTTCTTGTTTTGTTCAGCACTTTGAATTGCCTTGTGTATGAATCGTGCTATATAAATAAACTTGCCTTGCCTTGCCTTACAGCATCACTGCGAAGTTCCAGTCAGGTTTCAAAGCCAAGCAAAGTGCTGAGACTGCTCTTCTTAGAGTTCTTAATGATCTATATTCGGTCTCAGATTCTGGCCACCCTTCTGCTCTAGTTCTCCTAGATTTGTCATCAGCATTCGATACGGTGGACCATGATATTCTTATTGCGTGCCTCGAGCAACAAGTGGCCATCACGGGAACTGCACTTAAATGGTTTCAGTCCTATCTGACTGAGAGAACCTTTTCTGTCCAGTTGGGCCAGTTCACCTCTCAAACTTCCAATTTAAAGTGTGGAGTGCCCCAAGGCAGTATTTTGGACCCTACCTTTTTTGTCTTTACATGCTTAGGAGCTATATTTGAGAAGCATAATATTTCTTACCACTGCTATGCTGATGATGTCCAAATATATCTGCCCATTCAGACTAGCAGCTGTGTACAGACACATGTTGAAACAGAAATAGTTACCTTTGGGACTTCTGACCCTCTCCTGAACTGTGACAATGCTATAGGACCTCTTAAGCCTAGCGTACATCGGACTGGCAACTGATTATATCCGTCGCCTCTGAGTTGCTGCCCCGCACACATCGACAATCTGGCAAAAACGGGCAACTCTGAGTCGCAGGCCAGTCTCTTGAATAACAGCGCGTACATCGACAGCAACTGGCCTCAACTACAGTGTGTTTTCTGACAACAAACTGTTGCGGGCTCGCAATACACACACGTTGTTGGAGCGGCGCATGGAGCGCGCACATCGGGGCAACTGAGGACAACTAGTTGCCGAAAAGTAGAACACGGGCAACTGACTGGAACTGGAGACCGACTGATCATCTCCAGTTGTAAGAGCGCGCACATCGACCGATTTCGGCAACTGATCATCTCCCACCATCTCCTCTCAGTTTCCAAAAGCCGCCTTGCAACTAGTTGTCCCCAGTTTCTCTGTCGATGTACGCTAGGCTTTATGGCTTATGAAAAGCCCTACGCCAGGAATCTGGGATTTATTACCGACAGCCATTTTAAATTTGATAGGCAGATAAATTCTTAAAACAAGTTTTTATCATCTTAGAGTTCTTACTAGCAAAGGAAAATCTTATATTCCACATGCCCATTTTGAGAAGGTCATTCATGCTTTTATCACCTCAAGGCTTGATTATTGTAACTCCCTCCATGCCGGCATTGACCAGGCCCAGCTCAGCCGCTTACAGGGAGTGCAAAACGCAGCAGCCCGTCTTTTAACAGGGACAAAGCGCAGGGACCACATCACTCCTGTTCTGTGATCCCTGCACTGGCTCCGGGTATATTTTAGAATTAATTTTAAAATTCTTATTATTGTTATTTAAAAGTTTTTTAAAAGTTTTAATAGAATGGCACCTTCTTATTTATATGAATGAGAATGAGACAGAGCATCTTCTTTAAAACCCTTTTCCTTAATCATTTGGTCGATCACTTTTTGATTCTCTTTATCTACTTGAAGCTTGGGACTGTAATCTACACCATTGGGGCATCTCTATCCCTAGGTTTTTAGCAATCAACATTTTTATCTCCAACCATTTGGTGAAGGCCTTTAATAAAAAAAAAAAAACATAACATAAACATTGTGTTATTAGTGCTCTGGCTTCTTAGAAAATCAAAAAACAGAAAACATTAC